ACCAATTATCCAAATAATGTTTAGTCCTAGAAAGCTATTATTATCAGAACACGTGAGCATAACATAGCGGTTAGCACATCAATGAATGAGAGGGCAGCGTTACCAGAGTTGCCCATATACCACACCATGTTACAGCACAGTAGGGCTATTGCAGACAGAAACAATACTGTACTACATCGATGTTTCCTGTCGGCTCAATTTTTGAGTGGACTTTGCTCTTTCCGATTCGCATGAACGGTATATGAGTGGAGCGACTGAGCGGAGCACACACACATATAGAGCGGATAATACGCAGAGGGTCACACAACGTGAAAGTGAAACCTGAGCGGTGAACTAATTTTCGGCAGCCGAAATTTCGGTGCATCTCTAATTATTGGCGACATCAGAAATGGATATTATATAATAGATGTTTTTTGAACATTTTAGCAATTTAAAAATATTAAAAAAAGATTTTTTACATGGCACCCCTGCTCTCGACAGACGGCACCCTGGTTGGGAAACACTGCTCTAATCCACTGGCGCTTGACTCGACAGTGCGTGAGCTACATCCTTTTTACTATCTCTAGATTAGAAATCACTGGATTCTGTCAGCAATGTAACGCGGCAGTAACGTATAGAGACCTCGGCTTGTAACTATACTCTAATTACTATTTTGAAAATTATAACGCGTTAAAATACGCCGTTACTAAAAAAAGTAATCAAATTACAGTAACGCGTTACTAAGTAATGCGTTACTGCCCAACACTGTTCCTGATGCACTGGTGACTTCATGTGCCTGTGTGAGTCGTGAAAACTATAAAAATAAATCTAGGAATTATTGGATTTCAAATCAGTAAGGGTTAACTTGAGGCATTAAAAATAACTAAGTAACTAGCTGTTTTATGGATGGTAACTATAATATTATTACTGAAATCGTAATAGTAATTAGTTACACTAGTTACTGCAAAAAGTAATAGTATTACAGTAACTAGTTACTGCCCAACATTGTACATTATAAACTAAACTTTACAATACAATAAAAGTTACGCACTGCATTGTGTTATAAAGTCGTAAATGACTATTGGACCTCATTCAAATTGTTTCAGAACGAACGTTTCAGAACGAAACATCTGCATCACACTGGATCTGCAGCGGGTTTGACAGTCTCTGACAGCACAGACCCACCTATGTAAGGACGGGAGCTCATCGCTGTCGTGCTCGGGGTCTCTGGTGTTAGGAATAAACCCGATGATGGTGCTTTGTAGCGAGGTTCCCTTCAGCAGTCTGCTCTTGACTAACTGCATGTTTCTCGCAGTGTCGACGCTGATTCTCATGGTCGAGCCCGGTAACAACACTCCATCATGAGTGCACAGCAAAGGCAGTCGGCTGGGTATTTGAATACCACTGTTTGATGACATTTTCAGGGCTTGGATAGACGTTTAAAGTGTAAAACTAGTAATCGCAGTGAACGAAGGGGCAAGGAACGCCTTCATCGTATGACAAACTGGGACAAATGAAAACAGGAAGCTGGAACTACGGCAGGTGCAGTAGGTCAATCTTGGTGTGTGCAGACGGAAACTCCTACTTTTTGTGAAACCACGCGGAATGCAGCCAAATGTACACTGTGTTCTCTCTCTTTGTAGTGTGTTTACGTAAGTATATTTTGGGGACGCGTTCGCAAAATCAGGAAAGTACGGGGAAAATTTGAAGCGGTCGGGACAAAATCTTTATAGATGGGTCGCCCAGTGAGCAACGAGGAGGCTGGAGCCCATTAAGGGGCCTCAGCAGGGCTGCTATTAGACTGATGTAAAATATACTAAAACAATCTAAGCCAAATGCCTGAAAACCCTAAAATTAAAATGTACAATATGTAAACATAGGCTATTTCATATTTTAACTTGTCCCACAAATTTAAATTTTGTTGTTGTTGTTAAGAACATTGGTTTGCAATATTTGGTTTGCACAGGCCTCAGGACCAGTGTTAATTTAATATTATTTATATACTATTATAGTATAATATAATATTTTAAATTGGCTTCTATTTTTATATTTTCAGTTTTCATTTTAATTTTAGTAATATTGCTATTTGACCCCCCCCACAAAGTTATTATTATTCATGTTATTTTCAATATTTTTCTCTTTAGCTTTTTTTTTATTTCTGTTTTAGTTAAACTTATTTTATTTCAGTTAGTTTCCCAGGCAAGTTTTCTCATGTTTAGTTTATATTTTTTAAGTTTTAATCTAATTTTTATAATTTATTTCAGCTTAATTACTTAAGATGTTTCCACTGATATAGTAAAGCCAACCGGTACTGTATGTGTGTGAAAGTAGACAGTGTGTTTGAAAAGAAACCAAACGGTACATCTGAACACGTGGGGGTGATAGTGAGAGGTTTATTTTCCAAGCCATGTTACAACAGTTACCAGAACATTCTGTGGCAGGAGTCCAAATAAATAACCTAAATTAAAATCTGTGTATAAAACATATGCAAACCTGATATCAAACCCTCTTTATCACCTTAAAGCTTTCTATAGGAATACTTTGGTGCAATCTTTCAACATTTAACCAGCAGTAAAGCACAAAGTAAAGAGCCTCTGGGTAAAAGCAACAATGCCGACTAGGCCAGCAGTCAGCACAACATTTGCATGCAAATGATATGTTCAAAAGGAGCTCCACGTTATTTATAGATCTTACCTAAATCTTACCAAGAACATTTACAACGTGGCAATGATAATATACTTTTTTGGCATACATCAAGGACAAAATATGTATTTTCCTCAGAAATATAAGTCACAGTGGCAAAGACTTTTTTGGGGGGAATTACCAATTGTAAATGCTACAGTGAAGAGTCAAAGCTGCTCCCCTCCACAGAGCACACACACAGTGCATACATGATCATTTATTAGCAAAATACCACATAAATATGCAAGCAGGCGGGTGGATGGAGGTATGAATGTTCTGAATGATGGACAGCAATATCTGCAGGGTCAGTAGAGTGTCTTCCAACTGGTGTGATGGCTGTTGCATTTTTCCATATGGGTAACACTTCATAACTCCATATGGGAGGCAGTCAGTGACTTCACTAGGACAAGAGGCACACAAGCATGCTGCGTGTCACTACATAAACCAGGTAACACCCTTTTACACTTACACCAGCAACACCAAGACAAGATCAGATCTACTTAGATCTGCTGCTATGTAGTTTTCTTCCCTTTCCTCCAGTTGAGGACTTCACAATCTAGAAATTAACAAAGAGAAAGAGCGTAGATAAGTGGTCACATATTTTGATGTCACATCTAATGATGAGTTGCTCATTATTTGCAACAAATCAATTATTCAGATAACCCTCAAAAGAAAGGCTGCTATTTTTTTGCTCCTCAAAAAAATCATTAAAAAAATAATGCTTATGTTGACAAAAATGATTTTCATGTTTAGGGTTACCACCGTAACAGCATTTCACAATGAATTGGTAGAAGGCATAGACCAGGCATGTTCAGGCTAGTAACAACATGTGGGCTTTTTAAAGTACTTTACATCCTTCAGACAACCTCAATGCCTGAATCATGCTGCCATCTCATTCATCATGGAGGGGATAAGGACGTTGACTCTATCCCATAGCATTTATTCTCATTCACAAAGGCTGATGGTCGACCACAGACTCGCATCAACAAACAGCAAAAGTTTCCATCTTTATGCTACTGTGTGCGTGAGGTTATCAACAAACATTTGGAAGACTGGTGGAAGAACCCTTCTTGAGGTTGGACTCCAAAATTCCCCAAACCTTTCCAAGTTGTAGCAATCATTAGAAGGACCTCAACTGTCTTACCTCAAACTCTCAAAATATCAATGAGTAAGTACCATAACCCCCCCCCCCCCCC